CTATGAACATGCTAATGGAGGAGCTTTCCTGAGGAGGTTCTTTTGCAGGGGCTCGCTCTTCAATGGTTTGCCTCTTTTCTCCAGGGTCGGGGACAGAGGGTGGCGAGAGGGGAGCAGCAGTCCCGGAGGCACCCACTGGAACGTGGTGTGCCTCAGGGGGCGGTGCTCTCCCCGATGTTGTTTAACATCTGCATGCGCCCCCTCGCCCAGATTGCCAGGAGGTATGGGCTGGGTTGTCATCAATATGCAGATGACACCCAGCTCTATCTGATGTTGGGTGGCCGGTCGGGCTCCGACCCAGAAGATCTGAACCGGGGATTACAGGCTGTGGCTGGGTGGCTCAGGCTGAGCCGGCTGAAACTAAACCCAGCTAAGACGGAGGTCCTGTGCCTGAGCCGGAATGGTTCGGGGTTGGGGCTCCCTCTCCCAACCTTCGATGGGGTACCTCTGGTGCCAGCGTCGGAGGTTAGGAGTTTGGGAGTGCTCCTGGATCCCTCCTTAGCTATGGAGGCCCAGGTGGCAGCCACTGCCAGATCTGCATTTTACCATCTAAGGCAGATTCGGCAGTTGGCCCCCTTCCTCGACCTCAATGACCTGGCTACAGTGATCCATGCGACGTCACCTCAAGGCTAGACCTCAAGGTCATCCAGCAGCTGCAAGTGGAGGAGTGGGGAATCAAACCCAGTTCTCCCAGATTAGAGTCCACGCACTTAACCACTGCACCAAATGTAGCATTCTTAGTGGACACCAGACAGTTTGTGCAGCATGCTTGTCCGGCATTTTCCATTTCCTGGCCGAGCCCCCCCTTCCTGCGGCACATTCAGGGTAAGCGACACACGTTAACTGTGGAAATATTATGAACATGTAACTTTTTTTACACTGTCTTTCAAAAGAAGAAGCCCTATTCAAAGCCTGTCGCTCAATCCACAGGCAACTGTGGAAAGAAATCTCTCTAAAATAAGAGCTGGCAAAGGTTTAGTGAATACAGAACAGCAGCTTGCAATCTGTTCGTAACATTAGCTCCATTGGGGGGGGGGGGGGATATGTTATTTCCAATCTCCAGAAAAGCCAATCTCTTAATTGCTCAGATTAAAATGACGCTGCCTAGCGATGGATTTAGGCCCGTATGATTTTCACACCAGTGTTTGTTCCCTTGCAGCAGAAGGTGGCACTGCTTCGCAGAAGTGACAGGAGGACCCAGGTTGGGGGTGAGGTGGGGCTGATATTATATCCCCTGCTCTTCAGATCTGGGTGTTTTTTTGAGGGGCAGCAGGACATGTAGCAGTGATATGTAACCAAGAAAAGAAAACACTGCCATGCACGAGGGGGACGGGGGGAATCAATACATGGGAACAGTGCATGCCGGGGATGCTTCAATTTCTTTTTTTAAAAAAATTTTAATATCGGGAGACTTGTTACGTTAATGCTTGAACACCTCGACATTCCAGACTGGCTGAGGCAGCAGGTCGGAAAAACATACATTTGAAGGAAGTGCCTGGCTTATTAGGTGGGGGGAATCCATTTACAGAGAAGTCTAGTTTCAGAAAATAGCCGCGTTGGTCTGATGTAGAAGAGCTAGCTTTGAGTCCAGTAGCAACTTGGAGAGACCAGCAAAGATTTTTGTGGGGGGGGGGGAGCCGTTCAGAGTCAAAGCTCTCTTCATCAGATACAAGTAGGAATGGAGATCTCCAAGTCCTTCTATCCCATTCGCAACATGGCTGGATACAACTCAGTGCCAAAGGATGGTCAGTGAGGACTGCCAGGAAATAAAGACAGAGAGCCAGTTTGGTGTAGGGGTTAGGAGTGCGGACTCTGATCTAGGAGAACTGGGTTTGGTTCCCCCACTCCTCCACATGCAGCTGCTGGTGTAACCTTGGGTCAGTCATAAGTTCTTTCAGAGCTGTTCTCTCAAGGGCAGTTCTCGGGAGAGCCCTTCCTACCTCACAGAGGGGGTCTGTTGTGGGGAGGGGAAGGAAAAGGAATTTGTAATCCACTCTGAGACTCCTTCGGGTAGTGAAGGGCAGGGTATAAATCCAGTCTCTTCTTCTTCATATATAACCCCCAAACCTGCTAAATTAGTAGTCTTAGGATCTTCAGGGGATTTCCATGATCTTTAATTGAGCGCATCCATTTAGACCTAAATGACCTGCTTATTAGATCATTCAGTTCAATTGCTCCTGTGACATAATCCCAGTTAAAGGTAACCATCTCCTTCTGAACAAAGGCTGATGCTGCAATTTCTTTTTTCCTTTTAACCAACTGACATACATTTCAGCACAATAGATACACTTCCATAGCCAGGTGGTAGCCCCTAAGCACCCTATTTACTTCTTCACCCAAAGAGTGATGAACACATGGAACTCTCTGCCACAGGAAGTGGTGGCGGCTACAAGCATGGACGGCTTCAAAAGGGAACTGGATAAGCATATGGAGCAGAGATCAGGTCTTGGACTGATCAGTTCTGACTGGCTTTTGCAGATCTACATTTGGATGAAGCAGATTAATGCGTAAAACCCACCAGGCTTAGCTGAAACACTCCTGGTCATCACTGTCAACTGCCAACTTTGTCATCTTTAAGGGCCTGGTTCTGGAATCTGTCTGAATTATAAGGCTGACCTACAGCAGTTTGTAAAAAAACAAGGAACGCGATGCATTCAAACACGTGCAGAGTACATTTGATTCTCTCTGAGGAATCCACAACCAGCACCAGTAATATTTGATAAACCAAGAAGTTTTCCACTACACAGTGGTCTCCAGAAAAGCTTGGTACAGCTCTCTAGAAACTACCAGACAACTCTGTTCTTATCTTCCATTCCCTCAGGATAGTTAATTTCTCCTTCTCAACTTTCCCAAATGCAACATGAGAACAATAGTGCACGAACTAGGAAAATATGGTTCGGTTTCTGGTTCATGGCTGAATGACAAACCAAAAAGGGAGGCTCGTTTATGAACTGAACTGGTTCGTGCGGTTCGTGGTCCTGCAAACCCCATTGAAAGGGACCACAGTCCCTTTAAACAGTTTGCAAAACAATTTGCAAAAAGCTTGAAAAACAGCTGAATAGCGGGGAGCAGCTATTTTGGGCTGTCTTGTGCAGTCCCTTTAAAGCTGTTTCGGACTGTCTTCTGTTGTTGTTGTTCAGTCGCATAGTCGAGTCCGACTCTTTGCGACCCCATGGACCAGCTCCCGCCAGGTCTTCTGTAGTCTCTTTAAACTATAAAAGGACTGCAGAAGACAGTCCAAAAAACAGTGGCCAGCACCTTTCTGCTGGCTGTGGCAAGCAGAAAGGTGGGGGTGAAGTGCCCCCAGGAAGGTACTTCCCACCTTCCACTTAAACTTAAACTCTCCTTTCCTCTCTCTGCAGCTTTTTGTGGGAAGCAGAAAGCAGTGGTGGTCCCAGTCATTTAAACCCTACTTTCTGCTCCCGAGAAATGCTGTGGGGAGCCAAAAGCAGGGTTTAAATGGCTCCAAGCCATTTAAACCAAACAGCTGAGAGGCGGGCAGCTCCCAGCCACTCAGCTGTTTCTCATGAAGAGCAGAAAGCATGAAAGAGCATGAATCATCATAAGCCACTGTGACGTCCTCCTTATTGGGGAGAACTATTTTCACTTTAAAAGTTCTCTTTATTACCGTATGTTTAACTGGGTAGATTCTGCTGCCACCAGGAAATTTTAAGGATTTCCAAACCTTTATGCTTTTACTGTTGCTCTTTTTAGTTTGGTAGACCGAGTTTAAGGCTTACGAGGATCTATGTGGTCCTGGGAAGTATTTCATTCAGAGCTGGTATAAGCTTGAATAAAAGAGGATTTATTTAAATAAATATTAAATAAGAGGGTGATACAAGGTAACTAAAAGGTAAAGGTTCCCTTGCTCGAAAGCCAGTCGAGTCCGACTCTAGGGTTGTAGTGCTCATCTCCGTTTCAAAGCCGAAGAGCCAGCGCTGTCCGAAGACGTTTCCGTGGTCATTTGGCCGGCATGACTAAGCACCAAGGCGTACGGCAACTAGTAATGTGTAAATGATGTACAATTGCTTTGGTATCACACTCAATCTTATTCCTCGCTGACAGGGATCTTTGCATGCAACTTTGTAACACTTGTTTATCTCAATGCCATATATGTTCACTGTTTCACTCCAGTTAGTTAGGACACTCAGACTTTCCTTTAACTGTTCTTCACTTAAACTTTACTTTACTTTTTCTTATACAATCAGCTTTTAGCTCTCATTCTCTTTCTCACTGAACAACCGCAGCTGTCCGCTTTAACTGCTTCAACACAGAACTAACTAACTGTCTAACGGAACATCAACTGTCAACATCTAACTGAAACTCCTGACTGACTCACATACTCATCCAGCCAGATTCACTTCCAAAGCCCCTCCCCCTCTCTGTCAACCACCAATCATACCACACTTGCCTCTCTCAACCACTCTAGTCTATCTACCACAGCCATGCAAC